AAAGCAGACAGGGGAAGGCCCCAGGGGCCAGGCGTGGGGCCCTAAGCCACACTGCAGCTTCGGGGACAAGAGAGAGCCCAACCTGGGCTGCTTCAGTGTGTGTGTGGAGGGGGTGGCGCTCCTCAGGGGACAAGGGGGAATCATGGGGCAGAGAGAGTAAGCAGGAGTGGGAGGAGGAGATCAGGGACAGAGGGTGGGGCTCAGTGGGAGAAAAAGGAGAGACAGGGTATGGGAGTAACCAGGAGGCAGAGAAAGTGGAGAGATGGGGGAGTTGAAAGGGGAGGCAGGGAACAAGCTGTCGCCAAGGGCAGGTGAGGGAGGAGGGGTACCGAGGCTGGGCCACGGGAGTCAGAAGGCTGGAGCCCTGAAGGGCCCCACAGCCCTCCGTGGCCCTGCTGTCTCCCTACAGTTCTACGGCCAAGGAGTGAAACTTGCCTGATTTCAGCTACCCCTACCAGGCACCCCTCCTCCCCGGAACCAAAGGGAAGTGGCCCCATGGGCCTGCCTGCTTCCAACTCAGGGCCGGGCTCCGTCACCCGGCAGGCATTTGTTGTAGTAACAGTCCCTGGGGACCCATCCTGGGGAACAGGACTTGGAGCAGTAAAGATGGGGGAGCCCGGGCCCCCACCGCCGCCAGCCCCAACGGCTGCCGCAGGCCTCGGTGACAGCCTGTCTGTAAGTCGCCCCCACAGCCCCTGGTTCTGGGAGGATGGGTTGGCTCCCTAGCAGCAGGTGTGTTGGGGTGTGTTGCCCGGCAACCAGTAGAGGTGTTCCCAGAGCGTCTACAAGTGAGAGGCAGGGCGGAGAGGACCAGAGCATTGGCCCTTAGATGCCCATGGTCACAGGAATCTTTTGCAGGGCCCCCAGCTCCAGCCTAGGCCACCTGAGCCCATACAGTCACCCAGAGACGGAGGAGAGAAGGGCTTTTGGGAAAATCCCTTAAAGCAGGGGTCCCCAAACTTTGTACACCGGGAGCCAGTTCACTGTCCCTCAGACCGTTGGAGGGCTGGACTATGCAAGGTGTGACACCCTTCACAGCCAGCGCTGCTGCCTCCACTATCCCAGACAGCGGTATACAGTGTCACAGGCCCAGCACTGCCTCCAGTGCTGTATACAGGGATGGCGGTGATCAGCCTGTGACGCTGTGTATGCAGCATCCTGGACATCTGCAGCAGCGGTGGGCCTCGTCTGTGGGAAGCCCACTGCTGCATGTTTCCCCTATTATAAGACACCTCCCAAAAATAAGACAGCCCCCGTCTTTTGGGGGTAAAATTAATATAAGACAGGGTCTTATAATAGGGGAAACACAGTGTGTAGTAATGTCGGGGGAGACTTTTGAGTAAAGGGAGGTTATAGGGGCCATTATGTTGTTGTACATTTGGGGGAGTATGGGGGCCATTGTACTGTGTAGTAATGGTTCTAGTGCTTTGCCTTTCTTCCTACTTCTGCTGTTATTTCACACTGCTTCCGGTGATGTGGGGGGCCGCAGCCACAGACCGGATGTGCGTCATATGACGCGCTTCCGGAGCCGAGACGCGTGCGTCCCGCGTCACCGGAAGTAGTACTGTACATGAGCGATGTCACGCTTTGCTGGCGCCACCACATACTGTGCTCCTCTCACTGACCACCAATGAAGGAGGTGCCCCTTCCTGAAGTGCAGCAGGGGCCGGATAAATGGCCTCAGGGAGCCGCATGCAGCCTGCAGGCCATAGTTTGGGGACCCCTGCCTTAAAGTGACCATTGTCTCCTGCTAGCCCGGGGCCTACCTCTGGTGTCTTGGAGGTCCAGCCCCGGATCCTAGAAAGTAGCTGAGCCTGGGCTAGCCTGGGAAGCCTTGCTGGTAGTACATGTACAGTGCAGGGCTGCGAGGAAGAGTGGGTGTGGCAGATGGGCATGCAGTGGAAGCAGAGGCCCAGGCCAGGGGGCTGGGGCCGCCTGGGTGACTGCTAACCTTTCTGGCTTGGGACCCAGTTGCCAAAGCATTTCTTCTTCCCCTATGGTAAGAATCCCAGAGGACAACCCCAGCAAGGATCATTCCCCGCAGGGTACAGATGAGCAGGCGCAGAGTGGGCAGGGGCCTTGCTTCGGGTCATTCAACAGCTGTGGATGGAGGCTGGATTAGAACCCAAGGTCTGGGTTCCAGCCAGGGCCCTTTCCCCTCCCCACTCTGAGGCAGCCAAGCCCTAACCACTGCCCTCTGTTCAGAAGCAGGATTCTGGCAGGAGGTGACCAGTGGGGAGGGGCTCTTTGTGGAAGCGTGAGCAGGGCCTGTGAGGCCAGGGCTGGGGTCTGCCCCTCACCACCCCCTGAATGCCCAGCCCTGTACCTCCCTGGGCTGAGAGCAAGGGCTGGCCTCAGTCTGGCGTCAGCAGAGGCTGGACTCTGGCCCAGTACCCAAGGAGTAGTGATTGATGGCCTGTCTTGGGATAGCCTGGGGGTCTTCCTGGAGGAGGAGGGCCCAGAATGGAATCTGGAGGGTCTGGCAGGGTTCAGGAAAGCCTGGGAGGGGAAGCCAGCATCTTCCAGGAAGCCCCGCCCCCACCCCAGCCTAGCCAGGCTCCATTGTCCCGGCCAAGCCCAATTAGCACCCGGCTCCTACAGGGGCCAATTAGACAGGGGCTGAGGTCAGCTGCCCACAGAGGCCCTGCCACCCCTCCAAGCTTCCCCAAGCCAAGCACAAAAGCTTTCTAGGCACCATCTCTGCTGCAGCAGGAAGTGAAAGAAAGAACAGAAGAAAGGGAAAATTCCCTCCTTTTGTTTCTTTGCTATAACCTTGGCCTGAACAAAGAAGCCACCGCCTCCCCTCCCCCGGAGGGCAACTTCCGTGGAGCAGGGAATCTGTTTTAAACAGCACTTTGCACAGATTTGTTGTGGTTGAGGGGTCCAGATGACATTCGAGGGGAACCAGGAGCAGAAACCTGGGTGAGCAGGGCTCTGGTTCTAGAACCTTCCATGACTCCCCACTGCCCTCTGTTCAGAAGCAGAGCTCCTGGGGCTGGCTGACGCAAACGGGTGAGCCCGCTCTAGCTCTCTAGCCAGACAGACCTGGGTACTTGACTGCCTCCACAGAGCCCAGCCCACATGGGCCTGCACACCTTCCCTCAGTGGTTCCCACCCCTCAGATCCCACCCAATCCGGTCAAATGTCACCTGCACCTCAAAGGCCCAGCTCTACTCTCCCCCGCAGGATCCCCTCCCTCCCCAACCCCATCCCTGGCCTTGACTTGCACTCCTAGGGTGTGAGCCTTGGCCCACGCAAGGCCTCCCTCCCACTGGGAACTCTCTGAGTGCAGGGGTCTCCCCACCCCCAACAGAGCTGAGCTTACGGGTGCAAACAGCAGCTGCCAGGCCCTGCTGGGGAGCAGGTGGAAGGAAGATGTATGCCAAACAGAGCCCAGAATGGGGCTCGGGAAGCTGGGGCCACCCTGGAGCGGTGGCAGATGAAGAAGGGGACCCACAGGGCCACTGCCTCCTCCAGGCTCCCTCCCACAGAGCGATGCCCCATCGCACAGACCACCCTGCCCCCGCCTCCCTAACCCTGCCCTCTGTGTCTCGGGAGCTCAGCCTCTCCCGCTGTGCTATACCCTGGCCACCTCGATATCCCCGCCCAGCCAATGAGGCTCAGTCCTCCCTCGCCTGCCCTCTGGTGGTGAAGTTCCAAAGTGAATGGAGGGTAAGAAAGAGGCTTTTCTCATGGCCAGTGGGCTCTATGGTCCCTCAGTGGGCGGGAAGGGAGCTTGGCTGGGTGGGCAGTGGCAAAGAACTGAGAGGCCAGGGACCCAGGGGCATTGACCCGTGTGTTTCTAGAAGTAAGGGGACTCCTTCGCCATGGTGAGCCCTGACCCCCGGGAAAACACTAGTCTCTTTCAGCAGCTTTGCAGATACAACCTCCATCCTCCCGGACTCGTCCCTGAGACAGCTCCTCAGAACTAGGCCCTTGCTCTCTGGTCTCTGGAACTGGAGGAGGCCAGCACCAATTTGCAAGCTGAATTTTCCACTGTATTTTAAAGAAATGTGGTTATTTCCCTTTGTTTTATTTTATTTATTTATTTATTTGTTTTTGAGATGGAGTCTTGCTGTGTTGCCCAGGCTGGAGTGCAGTGGCATGATCTTGGCTCAGTGCAACCTCTGCCCCTCTGCCTCCCCAGTTCAAGCAATTCTCCCTCCTCATCCGCCCAAGTAGCTGGGACTACAGGCACCCACCACCATGCCCGGCTAATTTTTGCATTCTTAGTAGAGACAGGGTTTCACCATGTTGGCCAGGCTGGTCTTGAACACCTGACCTCAGGTAATCCGCCTGTCTTGGCCCCCCAAAGTGCTGGGATTACAGGCATGAGCCATCATGCCCAGCCTAATCTTTGTATTTTTAGCACAGAGAGGGTTTCATCACGTTAGCCAGCCTGGTCTTGAACTCCTGACCCCAAGTGATCTGCTGGCCTTAGCTCCCGAAGTGCTGGGGTTACAGGCACGAGCCACCACACTCAGCCAAGAAATGTGGTTAATTCCCTTTAAAAGTATTGGAAAATTTAGATTAGCCAAGAGAGGCCTCTCTGACGTTCCAAGGAAACCCGCGGGACTTCTGTTCTGGCAAATGATGGCAAATCTGGCAGGAGCAGGGTCTGGGTCAAAGGATTTGTCCAAGTAAGTCAGGGAGGCAAGAAGGCCCTTCCCTGCCATAAAGGTCTTCGGGAGCTGAAGGAGGAGCATGTGGGTAGCCCTTAGCAGACGGGGGGTGCCAGGCTGATGTGGGTCAGGGACAGCTTCTGGGCAGAGGCAGAGAAGGCTTTGAAGACAGAAAGGGGCCCAGGAGGCTGGGTCCATGTGTGGAGTGGCCATGGCTAAATTCTGAAAGGGGGTCTAGCTGTGCTGGGAGAGATGGAAATTCAAAGCTGAAAATTTACCATGAGGGCCAGTGGGAGCCACTGGAGGGGTCTGGAGCCAGGGAGGATGTTGCAGTTACCCACTGTGACAGCAAACGACCCTGAAATGCTATCGTTTAAAACGCAGTGTTTTATTATCACGCCTCAGAGCTCTGTGGGTCAGGAACTCAGCCACCGCACGGCAGGTCCAAGTCCTCAGCTGGGACGACCTACGGGCAAGAGCAGGAGCAGCTGAGGCTGGGCGGGCCTCCATCTCTCCTATACACTTAGTTTGGGCTTCCTCACAGCCTCAGGGCAGCAAGAAATCAGCAGCTATCAGGGAATAATTGAGGTTACTGCAAGATGGGTCTCGTCCCCAGCCCCTGTCTCAGCCCCAGCACTGGAGCTGGCCCAGGACAGAGGCCCCAGCCTAGGTTCAAGATTCACTGAGTGCCTTCGGGCAAATCTCTGCACCTCTCTGGCCCCAATATCAGAACTTCTGAGATGGGGACTCCAGGGCTAGAGGTCTTGGAAGGCTGGCCAGACCGCCCGGAGGAAGGGCATGTGCTCCTGGAATTGGGGAGCGAGACAGCCCCGAACATACCTTCCCCACGATGAGTCTCCGGGGCTCAGGCTGTCCTCATCCTTCAACCACCGGTTGAAGCTGCGCGTCTGTGGGCAGCTGCTGCCCTCTGCCGGCTGCAAAGGCAAACCACGTGCAGGTGGCCTCGGCCTGCCAGCTATGGAACCTGAGGGTCCAGGTAACCCTGAGATTGGGTGGCTGCCCAGGGAAGGCGACAAAGGAGAGAGTGTGCGCCTGGTCCAGCAGACCCATCTTCTGCACCCACTCCAACACTGGTCAGACTGCCACCCACACTGCCTCAGACCCAGCAAGCTGTCTCAGGCCTCCTTCCGTGGGAGAGTGAAGCCCCTCCCCACACCTACCCCTGCTCCAACCCAGGCCTCCCCTATGCACCCCTCCCTCTTACCTTCGGATTCTCCAGGAAATCCTCTCTCTCCACCCATGCCTCTCCTTGATCCTGTGTTCCGAGCTACCTTTGACCCTTCTCAACCTCACCGTCCCCTCAGGCTTCGTCCACGGCACCCAGCGTTCAAAGCAGAGACCAAGGTCACCTCCTCCAGGCCACACCTAGAGGCGCCCTCTGTAGATCTGGAAGCTGTTGAGCCTTCTCACCTTTTTCCGAATATCTTTTAAACTGTGAAATGTAACCCGTGTGAAAAATTGCATTGAACATATAGAATATCGTTGTTATAAATTGTTAGGTAGCAGATGTCCGTGAAACCACCCCCCGGGACAGGAAACAGTATCGTCAGTATCATCAGCGTCCGCACGCCCCCACGCCCCTCCCAGCCACATCCCTCCGCTCCTGAATGTGATCACTCTACCAGCTTTCTGCCCTCGCTTTGCTTCTTTATCTTCATTCATTCATTTATTTATTTTGAGACAAAGTCTCGCTCTGTTGCCCAAACTGGAATGCAGTGGCATGATCTTGGCTCACTGCAACCTCTGACTCCCAGGTTCAAGTGGTTCTCAGGTCTCAGGCTCCCAAGTAGCTGGGATTACAGGCACGTACCACCACACCCGGCTAATTTTGGGGGTTTTGTGTAGAAACAGGGTTCCATCACGTTGGCCAGGCTGGTCTCAAACTTCTGACCTCAAGTGAGCTGCCCACCCCGGCCTCCCAAAGTGCTAGGATTAAAGGTGTGAGACACTGCGCCTGGCCTGCTTTGCTTCCTTTCTTTTTTTTTTTTTTTTTTTTTTTTTTTTTTTTTCTGAGACGGAGTTTCACTCTTGTTACCCCGGCTGGAGTGCAATGGCGCGATCTCGACTCACCGCAACCTCCATCTCCTGGGTTCAAGCAATTCTCCTGCCTCAGCTTCCCGAGTAGCTGGGATTACAGGCACGCGCCACCATGCCCAGCTCATTTTTGTATTTTTAGTAGAGACGGGGTTTCACCATGTTGACCAGGATGGTCTCGATCTCTTGACCTCGTGATCCACCCGCCTCGGCCTCCCAAAGTGCTGGGATTACAGGCGTGAGCCACGGCGACCGTCCAGCTTTGCTTCTTTATACTGTCGCTATCTGAGCATGCCTCTCGAATCACTGTGGCCTGATTTTTCTATTTTTACCTTCGTGGAGAGGGCGCCACGCCACATGCATTGCTTTGCACATGGTTCTTCTGCTCACCTTGAGGTATGTGAGGCTTGCCCCCATCATGGTTTCTTCTCATTGCTCTGAAGTACCGAGCTGTATGAGTTTCCCCTGCCCCTATCTCTGCCCCATAATTCTTCACTCGCCCGCCAACTCTTTAATGTTCACATGAAGGTGAGTTTGGCTTTGTGTCCCATTCAGACCATCTCTAGCAGCAGGTTCACCTGCATCGCCCAAGCCGCAAGACTCAGGCGGAAGTGGGTCGCCCTTCCTTTGAAGCCCTCTGCAGCCTTGGCCTTCCCAGCCTGCTCTCTCCGCTGTTCCTCCTACCTCTCTGGCAGTTGCCCTAGTCTGGAGAGCCCGTCTCCTACCACCGCTTGTCCTTGAACCCCCTTCTCACTCCACACTGCCCAGACTCTGAAAATCTCTCCCTTCCCAAGGCTCCAGGGGAACCAGGCCTGTCCTGCCACCCACCCTGTCTCCTGCCAGGGTTCACTCCAGGTTAGATTACCATCGGCCACTGCTGGCCACCTGACCTGAGGCCCTGCATGTACCTGACCCCTAATACCATCCTCCCCACAGCCCAGCTCCCCCTCCTTCCCACTCCAGACCTGCACCGCCTCTACGCAAAGACCCCAGGCTCTTCCTCCCCTCCTCCCCACCTCGCCCATTCCTCCTTCCCACTCCAGGCCTGCACCTCCACCAAAAGGTCCCAGGCCCCTCCCATTCCTTCTCCCAATCCTCCCCCACCTCCTCCTCCCCGCTGCAGGCCTGCACCTCTTCCCCCTGAAGACCCCAGGCTACCCTCCTCATCCCCGACCCTCTTCCTTGCTCACTTCACTCTGCCATGCTGAGTCCTCCCTGGTCTGCCTGCAGCAAGGGTCCCTTTGGGTCTCACCTGGCTCCCTGCTCTAGGCCTCCATTCATTTCCCCATCCATCTTGAGGAGCAAGAGGGGTCTTGCCACAAGCCCCCTCCAGCTTAGGCAGTTCAGACCCAGGGCCACCTCACATTTCCCACCTGGGCAGGCTCTGAGCGCTGGGTCTCAGCTGGGGAAGGGCAGTGTCGGTGGGTGAGGAGAATCCCGTGGGCACTAGGGTCGGGCGCAATGGCTTTGGAGTCAGCCCTTCTAGAGGAGGCTCAGCCCAGAGACAGGACAGGGAAGCGGCTGGTGCCTGCCCCTCCCCCAGCCGCCTGGCAAGTGGGGAGGGACTGGAGGAGGGGAGGCAGCAAGACTGCAGCAGGAATCTGGGCCATGGTGTCTTTGTGTTCTCAAGGCTGGGTTGTGATGCAAGGCATGGCCCTGGGGGCTGGCGAGGCCCAGCTCCAGGCCGTGGGGAGGGTCAGGGCTGCCCAGCTTCAGTCAGTAACCTCCCAGCCCAGCTGAGCCGCCCAAGGTCCCTGCTGTGTGGGTTCGGGAAGCCGAGGAGGGAATGCATGTCCTTCAGGTTCCCACAGATGTAGAGCACTGAGGGAGGAGAGAGACTGAGCGGTGAGCCAGGGCCGGGGGGGGGGGGGGCCCTCTCCATGCCCTGGGGGAGTCCTCACTCGCAGAGCAGCTAGGCTGGATGGAGGACGGGGATAGGCACCTGTGGAGGCCTCTAGGACTAGTGTCCGAGGCGTGGAGTCCAGCAGGGACCATCGGGCGGAGGCAGGGACGAAGCTGTGCTCTCCCTCCATCTCCTGCCTCACTCTGGGCCCCAGCTTTCTTTGTCAGTCAAGGCAGGTTGTTAAGAACAGAGCTCTGGGCCAGGTGCGGTGGCTCACGCCTGTAATCCCAGCACTTTGGGAGGCTGAGGAGGGCGGATCACCTGAGGTCAGGAGTTCAAAACCAGCCTGACCAACATAGTGAAAACCCATCACTACTAAAAATAGAAAAATTAGCTGGGCACTGTAGTGCACATCTGTAGTCCCAGCTACTTGGGAGGCTGAGGCCAGAGAATGGCTTGAACCAGGAAAGCGAAGGTTGTAGTGAGCTGAGATCACGACATTGCACTCCAGCCTGGGTGACAGAGTGAGACTCCGTCACAAAACAACAAGAAAAATAACAGAGCTCTGCTCATGCCTCAGAACAGCTGAGTTGGAGAACAGGAAGGTCTTAGAAAGATGACCCTCTGAATGAGAAGAGGGGGTGATCAGACCCATGGGGTGGGCTGAGGAGCTGGCAGCCCCTTCCCCCTGGACTCCCTCCATGAGCACGCACACAGCCCAGTTACAGACAGGATCATATTCATCTGCCACGTGCACGTTCCTTTCACAATAGAGCATGACCATCTCCGTGTGTCAGTACGATTAAATCTAGGTCATCCTTTGTGACCACAGCCTGTGGCCCAGAGACTGAGCACGCCCTTGTAGAAGGCCACAAGCTGTGTGGAAGCGAGCATCCCTGCACGTGTTTTCCTGGATGTGTGTGTGCGTGTTTCTCTAGGAGATAACCCTGGAACCCCAGAAAACCCATTTGGATGCTGCTATAATTGTCCAGGGCAGACATGCTAAGAGCTTGAACCAGGCTGGGCAAAGAAAGAAGGGGCCAAATTTCCTTTGCCAAAATATCATGTGCTTCCTGCAGTCGGTCCCCCATCCGTCATGGGCTGCCATAAATGGAAGATTTAGAGCAGAGCAACGCAGAGCAAAGCAGGCGCCTAGGAGCTCACGGGGCAGCAAGGAGGAAGAGGAACGGGTCCGATCTGTTGATTAAGGCAGTGATTAGACTAGAAACAGGTGTGCAGGAGAACAGCGTCCTCCAAATTATACCTGCCTGGGCCGGGGCTTCACGCACCAACTCAGCCTCACAGCGATGCCAGGTGTCTCTGTACGAGGACTCAGGCTCAGAAAGGTGAAGGGGCCTGGCTGAGCTCACACTGCATGTGAGTGGCCAAGCTGGCCTGCTGACATGGGGCTGACTGCAAAGCTGTGTGTGTGTGTGTGTGTGTGTGTGTGTAGTCTCTAGACAGAGTCTCTCCGTTAACAATGCTGTCTGAGGACAGCAGATGAGCCGATCTGGAGGAGCCAAGACCTGGAATTCGACAGGGGCAGGTGCTGGGGAGAGGGACCTGGCACTGGTGCAATTAGAGGGAGCCCAGCCAGGAGGCTGGACAGGGGCAGGTGACAAGTGGTGTCTGGTGGGCCCCTGCTGCCGGGGGAGCCCCTGCTCTAGAAACCACGGCCTGCCATGCAGCAGGTGGGAGGCAGTGGCTGAGAACGCGGGCCATCTCCGCAGTCAGCAGGAGGCCCAGGTGGGAGCTGGAGGCAGAGCCCTGCTTCCTGGAGGCGTGAGCACCCACCCGTTTGTACGCGGCCTACCACAGCTTCAGGAAGTCTACAAGCCGCCAGGGCTTAGCAAACTCCTCAGCAAACTCACTTCCTCATGCCCATTTCCTCCCCCATCCCAGCTCCGGCCTGCTGCTCCTCCATCCAGGCCCATCTGGCTTCACATTTGGGACCTCCTTTTCTATTTTGTATGGTTCAGATTTAAGAAACTGCCTTTGGCCGGGTGCAGTGGCTCACGCCTGTAATCCCAGCACTTTGGGAGGCTGAGGCGGGCGGATCACCTGAAGTCAGGAGTTCCAGACCAGCTTGGCCAACATGGTGAAACCCCGTCTCTACTAAAAATACAAAAATTAGCTGGGCATGATGGCAGGTGCCTGCAATCCCAGCTACTCAGCAGGCTGAGGCAGAGAATTGCTTGAAACCCGGAGGTGAAGGCTGCAGTGAGCTGAGATCACGCAGCTACACTCCAGCCCGGGTGACAGAGCAAGACTCTGTCTCAAAAAAAAGAAACTCCCTTTACGAAACTTTTCATAAATAACAGTAGGGAATTTCTGATTATCAAACAAATGCATATAAATATAGCCTATTAATTTTCCTATATGTTTATACACGGGTAGGCATGAATTTTTCTCTCATTTGGGGATTGTACTGATAATTCCTGTTCGTAGCCTGCTTTTATCACTTCTCAACATATTGTGAAGCGTCCATGTCTGGAGGTCTTATGGCAGGATGGCACGGCTCTTCAGAACACAGGCTTGAGTCCCTGCAGGCCTGGGTTTCACACCCTGGCTCCATCACTCATCAGTTTCATAACTGAGCAAGTGACTCAAGGCCTCTCTGGGCCTTGGTTTCTGCATTAGTAGAACAGGGATAATTGGACCTATCCTTGCAGGGCTGATGAGAGGACTGACTGAGGGAGGGCGCGTAAAATGCTTCGAAGAAAGCCCGGAACACAGCAAACGCTCAGTCAGCGTCAGACCTCAGGATTGCTGCTGTTCCTGACCTCGTGGCTGACTCCAGTCCCCCTCTCCCCACCTGATACCCCACATCCTGGAGCTGGATCCCAGCCTCCACCCTGAGTTCTAGCCTGGGTCTCCTGAGGCGACCTTGGGTCGTCTTCTGTCTACTGGGCTGGTTGGGGAGCTGGCACCCAGTCACTTTCCAAGTGGCATCAGTGGGATTTCTGAGAGGTTCTTCCCTGGCTTCTCAGTGACGTGAGGACTGAGAGGAATTAGAAGGGTGGGGATGGAGGGCCGGGCGCGGTGGCTCACGCTTGTAATCCCAGCACTTTGGGAGGCCGAGGAGGGTGGATCACGAGGCCAGGAGTTCGAGACCAGTCTGGCCAACATGATGAAACCCTGTCTCTACTAAAAATACAAAAAATTAGCTGGGTGTGATGGCGGGTGCCTGCAATCCCAGCTACTCAGGAGGCTGAGGCAGGAGAATTGCTTGAACAGGGGACAGAGGTTCAGTGAGCCGAGATCGCGCCACTGCACTCCAGCCTGGGTGACAGGGCAAGAGTCTCGATAAATAAATAAGTAAATAAATAAGAAGGTGGGGAGGGAGGAGGGAAAAGGTGAAGAAACGGCTATGATTGAGCCAGACCCGGCAAACCTGGCCCTGGATCTTCTCCAGTTTCCGTTGCCCACCGGCTTCCTCCCCTGTGTCCACACCCGGGGTTTCCCCCTGCGTTGGTATCACAGGACGTGATGTGCCCCCCGCCCCAGGAGAGAACATTAATGTGGCTGCCCTCACATGGCCAGGATGGGTGAGGATCAAGTCATAACCACCCCTCCAGGGAGTTGCTAAGACAGGGCCGTGGCGTGGGGCTCCTGCTGTCCACTGGCCTTGGTGGAGACCTGCTGACTTTCAAGTGTGGGTGTGGATGTGGGACCAGGGTTGCTATGGGGCAGTGGGCTCAGCTCTGGGCTCTGGGATCCACAGGATATGGACTACTACCGGCGGGCCATGCAGAAGATGGCAGAGGACATCCTCTCGCTGCGGAGACAGGCCAGCATCCTGGAAAGAGAGAACCGCATACTGAGGAGCCACCTGGCCCAGCAGGAGGAGGAAGATGGGCGGGAAAAAGCCAGTGAGGCCCGGCACGTGGGTGAGGGTGTGCAGGCCACCACGGGCACCGGGGCATCTGCTTGGGCGCAGACTCCGGGCGGTGCCACAGGGAGGTGGGGTGCTTTTCCCAGACACGCATGCTACTGGACTCTGGCAAATAGGAGCCCCACGCCCACAGACACTCACACAGCTCCTGCCCAGCTGGGTCCTCTCAGGGATGGCAAACGCAGAATCCAGTCCCGTCCCAAGCCCTGGGCCTGAGGACCATGTGCCTTCCTGCTACTGACCATGCTGATTTGAGCTGGGAGAGGCTGCTTCCTCCCCGAGCTGGCTCCCCTACTCACCCAACAGTGTCCGTGAAGCAGAAACTGCTGCTGAGTGAGCTGGATATGAAGAAACTGAGGGACAGGGTGCAGCATTTGCAGAATGAGCTGATTCGAGTGAGCCAGGGCTTGTGGGGGGCAGAGGGGAGGGAGTTATGGTGGGGGGCATCGGGATGAGAAGAGTCTGGGAGGAGAAGGCACAGAGGGAATGGAGGCACAGAAGAAAGGGGGGCCAGCCCGATGGAGGACTTAGCAGAGGGGCCAAGCTGGGCTCCCAGGCACCCATTGTCTCCCCTTCCCTCCTCCTCTATCTCACAGAAAAATGATCAGGAGAAGGAGCTGCTCCTCCTGTATCAGGCTCAGCAGCCACAGGCCGCACTGCTGAAGCAGTACCAGGGCAAGCTGCAGAAGATGAAGGCGCTGGAGGAGACGGTGCGGCACCAGGAGAAGGCAGGTGCCAGAGGGGCTGTCCCTGAGGCCCACCGATGTCGGCAGGGTGGGGAGCTTCCGGGCCAGCCCAGGCTCTGCTGTGCCCTCCAGGTGATCGAGAAGATGGAGCAGGTGCTGGAAGACAGGCTTCGGGACAGGAGCAAGCCCCCTCCTCCAAACAGGCAGGCGGGAAAGCCCAACACTGGTGGGTCCACACGCTGATGTGATCGGCTCCCCAGCTTCTGCCCCACCCCTGGAGGCTTTGCTTTCCTGGAGCCTCTCAGCTTCAGGAAAACCTGCAAAGAGGGTCCCTGTACTCAGTTTCGTCTGCGGGCCTGGGAGACCCGGGACTGCACTGCTCCCCTCCTCATTCAGGAGCCTCATCCAGAGATCCCCTGAGCTCCCTCCTTCCCTAGAAGCCCCTCAGAACACAGTTGGGATACAGTGTGAGCCAGGCTAGAAGGAGGCTGGACCTCCAGAGGAGGGCCCTGCAGACCAGCACAGCAGAGAGGGGCTTCCCCAGAAGGGCCACCTGGGGCAGCACTTCCCAGCTCCTAACCGCAGAATCCGTCTAATTATTTCATCTCCCCCTATCTCCAAAGATTCTGCCTCTGCAAAGCAAACAAGCAGGGCCAGGCATAGTGGTTCACAACTATAATCCCAGCACTTTGGGAGGCCGAGGTGGGCGGATCACTTGAGGTCAGGAGTTTGAGACCAGCCTGACCAACACGGTGAATCCCCATCTCTACTAAAAATGCAAAAATTAGCTGGGCATGGTATGCGCCTGTAGTCTCAGCTACTTGAGAGGCTGAGGCATGAGAATCGCTTGAGCCTGGGAGGCAGAGGTTGCAGTGAGCCAAGACTGCACCACTGCACTCCGGCCTGGGTAACAGAGAGAGACTGTCTCAAAATAAATAAATAAATGATTTGGGGGTTTTCTCCCCCATTGATATTAACCAAAAGCCACCTAAAAGTGCCAGTCAGGCTCTGATGAGCAGAAAGGACCAGGTGACACCTATCAGGCCAGCCCAAAGCAAGGGATTTCCCTGAGCCTGCCTGTGCAACCTCACCAGGGCCCCTGTGTGCCCAGCCCTGTGCCTAGCCTTCACTGCTGAGGGTTTCAGGGGCGGGAGGGTGTTTCTAGGGACCTCTAGAAAGCCTTGAAAGTTGGGCTGGCCTTTTGGGAAACCTGAGGTCATCCAGGAGTCTGGATGAAACTGAGGAGGCAACCTAGGGAGGGGAAACAGCCAGATCAAAGGCCCATGGAGTGAGAAGAATGCCGGGAACAGAGAAGGGAGGAAGAGAGAAGTGAGGAGCTGAAACACGCCAAAGACAAATGAGGGGTTAACAAGAAGGCTGGGGTCAGAGTCTAAAGCCTGTGTGCACCTGATCCAGCTGGCAGTAGGGAGCCATTGAAGGCTTGGGGGCTGAGGGGAAGGGTGGCAGATTGAAGTAAAATGCTGAGGCAGATCAGCACAGGGATGTGGGAGGCAGGAGAGCCCATCTCCCCAACATCTGCGGCTGTATCTCTAGGCTTCCCTGGGCTCTCAGCCTCTGGCCTGCCCCTAGGTTCTACGAGGGAGAACCTGCCGCTTGAAATATACTCCGCGCTGCTGGCAGAAAATGCGAAGCTGCGGGCGGAGCTGGATAAGAACCGCCACCAGCCAGCCCCCATCATTTTGCAGCAGCAGGCCCTGCCGGTAAGAAGCCCTTGGCCTGGGCCTGCCGGTGCTGGCCGCCGGGTGCCCAGCAATCGCGCACAGTACAACCCAAGCTGAAGATCAAGACCAGGAGCTGGGTCTCCCAGGGTCTCCAGTCTGCCTGGAGGCTCCTGGAATCAGCTCTCGGGCCTTGCTCTTTTTCTTCTGAGAAATGTGTGTACCCGAACTCTTCACTTTGACCCTCATCTAGCATCCCAGGATAAAGCAAGCCAATTGTTGACCCTTGGCCCCTGAACCTTGACCCCTTTGCCACCCGGCTGGCCTCCACCTGGGCCCTACACAAGCCTCTCAAAACTCCCTTCTGGAGCAGAAATTCCCTGGTCTTGGTGCAGCCTTGGAGAGCCCTTTTCCATCCCAGGTGGACCCCGGGGAGTTGGGAGCAGGAGGAGACTTGGCAGAGAGGCTGCGAGAGACGCATGGCCCAGGCCACTCCAAGTGCACGCAGACGCGGCCCGCACAGGTGGGTGGCCCAGGGCCCAGAAACGCCCAGGCCCTGCTCCACCTCTGAGGCTGCCTCAGGTGCCCCCTGCTTTACATAAACCCAAAGGCAGAACATTTGGAATCACAGAAGATTGAGCAGGGCAGGGGCACAGGAGAATTTTCTCTCCATCCCAAGACTCGCTGGAGGTGAGTTCTGTGTGAAAGCCCACCTGCCATATGGACATCCAGGTAAAGTGTGAGGGATGAGGTCAGCTGCTTCACAGCTTTTCACCTCACCCAGATGCATTTTACATTAAAACATTGTTGTGTCAAAACTTCATATTCCCAAAATGTGTGCAGGAAACAGCTGTGAAAAAAGCACATGCCAGACCCTGTTCTGAACTTCCAGAAGAGGGTTTGGCCCAGGTCTGAGGCTCTGCCTTGGGAGCTCAGTCTGAACTCAGAACTGACTGGTTTCTCCTCCAATACCTTACAGTTTCCCGACCTCACACCAGCCGCAGCCCTCAGCCAGGGCCCAATTTGAGTTTCTGCTTTGCCCACAGGATCTCCTCTCTGATACTTCAGACAAGTTCAACCTCCTGGCCAAGCTGGAACGAGCTCAGAGCCGGATCCTGTCCCTGGAAAGCCAGGTGGGTGAGATGCAGGGGTTGATGAGGCTGGACGAGGCTCACCACACAGCCTATGACCAGGGCTCAGTATGTGAGCAGGGTCTAAGCTCAGTCTATGACCAGGATCAAGGCTTAGTGTGTGAGCAGGGTCAGGGCTCAATGTGCAATGGGGTCAGGGTTAGTGTGTGACCAGGGTCAGTGCTCAGTGTGCGTCCAGGGTCGGGCTCAGTGTGTGACCAGGATCAGGGCTCAGTGTGTGACCAGGGTCAGGGTTCAGTGTGTGACCAGGATCAGGGCTCAGTGTGTGACCAGGATCAGGGCTCAGGGTGTGACCAGGATCAGGGTTAATGTGTGATAAGGGTCAGGGCTCAGTGTGTGACCAGGGTCAGGGCTCAGTGTGTGTCCAGGGTCAGGACTCAGTTTGTGACCAGGGTCAGGGCTCAGTGTGTGACCAGGATCAGGGTTAGTGTGTGACCAGGATCAGGGTTAGTGTGTGTCCAGGATCAGGGCTGAGTGTGTGTCCAGGATCAGGGCTGAGTGTGTGACGAGGGTCAAGGCTCAGTGTGTGATCAGGGTCAGGGCTCAGTGTGTGTCCAGGGTCAGGACCCAGTGTGTGACCAGGATCAGGGCTCAGTGTGTGACCAGGATCAGGACTCAGTGTGTGACCAGGATCAGGGTTAATGTGTGATGAGGGTCAGGGCTCAGTGTGTGTCCAGGGTCAGGACTCAGTGTGTGACCAGGATCAGGGTTAGTGTGTGACCAGGATCAGGGTTAGTGTGTGTCCAGGATCAGGGCTGAGTGTGTGACGAGGGTCAGGGCTGAGTGTGTGACGAGGGTCAGGGCTCAGTGTGTGATCAGGGTCAGGGCTCAGTGTCTGTCCAGGGTCAGGACCCAGTGCGTGACCAGGGTCAGGGCTCAGTGTGTGACCAGGGTCAGGGCTCAGTGTGTGTCCAGGGTCAGGACTCAGTGTGTGACCAGGGTCAGGGCTCAGTGTGTGACCAGGATCAGGGTTAGTGTGTGACCAGGATCAGGGTTAGTGTGTGTCCAGGATCAGGGCTGAGTGTGTGACGAGGGTCAGGGCTGAGTGTGTGACGAGGGTCAGGGCTGAGTGTGTGACCAGGGTCAGGGCTCAGTGTGTGATCAGGGTCAGGGCTCAGTGTGTGTCCAGGGTCAGGGCTCAGGGTGTGATCAGGGTTAGGGTTCAGTGTGTGACCAGGGTCAGGCTGTCTATGATCAAAATCAGGGATCAGTGTGGACTCAGGATCAGGGCTCAGTATGTTGTTGAAATGTCCATCTGTGTCTTGGTCAGGCTGCCTGACTATCTGGCCCCCTTACCCTTACCCCTGCCACCCCGAAGTCTCTTGGGAAGGTGTCAAGCCCTCATGACCCAGAGCTTTGCATTCTGCCTGGACAGCAGGCTCAGGCCCTGGTTGTCCTGGCCATCAGGGAGTAGCCCTGCTGCCCATGATCCTCCAATTATTCCTCTCTATGCCTGCAGTTAGAGGACTCAGCGCGACGTTGGGGACGAGAGAAGCAGGATCTAGCCACACGGCTGCAGGAACAAGAAAACGGTTTCAGGCATCCCTCGAACTCCATCTTCATAGGACAGCCTGTGAGTGACGCCCCTGGAGGAGCTCCTGGGGGTTCAGGTGGTGGAGCAGGAAGTCACCCCACCCCCAAAGTCACTGGGCCCTCAGAAAACCACTGTGGGGCCAACTCCGGGGTTGGGAGTCAGAAGTCCTGGGCTCCTATTCCTGCTCTGTTACCAACCAAAGGCTTGGTCTCCAGTCCCCCACCTGTCTGAGTAGAACAGAAAACCCCTGCCAAGACCACCCCTTCCCCCGTGGGCTGCTGTGAAACTCAAGGAGATGACGGTGGATGAGGGGCCACGCGGGCATCTCTGGGATGCCCTGGCTCTGAATGTGCTTTAGGACTGGCTGCACGCACAGGCAGAGCAGCTTGCAGCCGTACCTCCGACTCCATAGAGCCTCAGAAATTAGCACACCCTTCTTAGGTGGCCACCATGTAGACTCCACTTTGCCGACTTCCTAAGAACAAACAGGCCTGCTCACAAGGGCCCCTCGAGTTCAACCCCAGGACCGCCCAGCCCCGCAAAGCAAAGACCCTGACTTCTCCTGCTCTTGAGCCAGCTGTGCTTTATCCATGGCCAGAGCTCAGCAGCGGCTCCTGGGAAAGGCCTGGAAAGGGCGAAGAAATAGGCAAGGAGCAAAGGCTACCTTTACACACTCACCTGAGCCCCAGGGGCTCCTGGAGAAATTAGGTGTCAATATGGCGAAATGGGTTTAGAAAACTTTGCGGGCATGACCCACTGGGCTCTGGATCCTCTGAGACCCGGTTTGTCCGGCAATATGCCCTTGAGCAGGTCACCCCCTGGGAACGGGGGGTACTCATGCACCCTACTTTGCACACCGCAGAATGCCCCCACCCACTCCAAGGACCTCAAGCAGCCCTCAAAGCTGGAGCCCCTGCTGCCCAGCTCAGACACTAAGCTCAACAGGCCCACAAACCCCCAGGAGGAGACCACTGACTCTCAGCAGACCTGAGCCCCGGAGCAGCCCTCCTTCCCTGTGTGCTGGGGAGTCTCATCCCCGCCCCCTAAAAATGACCTGATTAAACGCTGTAGCTCTGTGAGCATTTGTGTCTTTCCTGAAGCAGGGCAGCCTGGGGGCCCTGCTTCCTGCCTCTAGACCCCGACCCTGGGCCTGGGCCTTCGGCTGCAGCCTTACATCCTCCTGCCTGGCCCCGGAGCCAGCATCTTTGGAAAACCAAAGGTCACAGTGGACCCAGGAGGGTGGGAAGAAGAGACCTTCCAAAGCAGGGCCCGGGAGACAGGCCTCTTCCCGACCCCCAGAAGCTGCAAGGCCACCAGAGACCAGCTCTGTTGGAAGAGAGGAGGGAGGCTTGTGCTTTTCATCTGCTCCAAAACATCTATCGTGTCTGACGTTCCTTCTTTCAAGTTTGGTTTGTCTGTCTCTTGGAAAGGGGAAGACTTGAGGGCTTGAAGCCTTCCTGTGGCAGTTACGTATCATTGTGAAATACCCCATTTAGCCACTAGGCTGAGCTGGCAATGATGTGTCCAAATGTAGCCAGGGCAGGGGAGCTGATGGGGCCGGGGGAAGGAGGTACCCACTGGGAATTAGGAGGCCTGGGTTCTGGGAGCAAGCATACTGTGTGACCTCAAGGAACCCAAGCAACCTCTCTGGGCTTCAGTGTCCCCATCTGTTCCATACAGAGCTTGATCTCTTTGGCTGTAATATTTCTGAGTCAAAGTTGACTTGGAACCGTAGAAGAAAAGGGGCACAGGAAGGAGAGAGAAAGACAACAGGGAAGAGGATTGTGTGGTGGGGAAAGCAGAAGGGCTCCAAGGGCGGACCCAGATGCTGCAGCTCCCGGCAGGAGAGGCCAGGCCAGCTGCACCGCTGGCCTCCGCTGGACGAGCTCCCCCACCTGCCTGCAGGACTTGGACCTGGATACCTGAGGGCTGAGAGGAGTCAGGTCAGAAGCTGTGGGACCCCGAGTGATTAAGGGGTGGAAATCCAGACCAGTGTCATTCCGTCCAAATAACAACCAACGGATCTGGGGCAGAGTCGTCTTCCCACTCCTGCCCCTGGACAAGGGGCACAAACCCCCAGAGCAAGAAGATGAGGCCTGGAGCAAGCCCAGAGGAGGCCCAGGACGGGCAGAGGAAGCAGGCTGGTCTCTTGTGCCCGGTCAGTGACCTTCAGTAGCAGGGGGTCTCGCCCACAGGTCTCGGCCTTAGCCATGCCCAGGACTCTGGCTGGGCCTTGGCAGGAAGTCCTTATGCCCCACAGGGAACTCCCACCCAGGGTTCACCCAACCAGAGCCCTGTGCCAGCCTTACCCCTGCGGGGCAGGTCCACCTAAAACGGCAGGACTGGGCCACAACTCTTGGGGCCACCCTGTTCTCTCCACAGAACTCCCCAGTTCTCCTTCATCCCTCTCCCTGATGCTTCTGTAGCTCCTGGCACAGTGGCAGTCCCTCCCCTCCTCCACCTCACTCCGCCTCACCCCTTGCCCTGGGGAGCCTGGAGTTGGTCCTGCTGGGTGAGAGGGTACCAGCAGAGGTGGCTTCCAGTGTGGCTGCCTGGGTCCCCTGAGCACACCCCAGATCCCGCTTTAACCCAGGGAGCACCTCCACGGGAGTGATGAGCACCTAATGAGTCTGAAGGAACGAAAGCACCACACGGTTCAGCTGTTTATTGTCTCCACGGGGTGGGTGAAGAGGAGTGGCCCAACTGAGCTGAGGAAGGTGACCACTGAGATCCCACCCTACCTGCTCAGCAGGCTGGGCAGAAAGGAGCAGCGCTGGGGACAGAGGACTGAAGATGCTGAGACCTGTGGGCCCCACCCCCGGGGTTTCCTCCCACACGGCTGCAGGCCATCCTTTCTGATCACTCCTGGGTTGCTTCCTGGTTAAGGGGCCGGAAGGTGAGGGAGATGGGCTTTTCAGGCATCAGGATGAGGTTGAATGTGGTGCCTACATCACTGAGATGTTGGATTTCAACTCTGAAGTTCTCCAGCATCTGAGAAAGGCCGATGGTAGGTTTAGGGGAGGGCGGAGGAGGATCTGTCTCCCTGGCCAGGCCCATTCACCCGCAGGCAGTGCCTGTGAAGTGTGATCTGAGGGGCTCCAGGACTTAACCACCGGCTCCTCGTGCAGCCCTGCACAGTGCCTCACAATGCACCCTAGTGCTCCGTTCCCTCGATTTAGGCCTAGACCTTAACTCCTCTACACACCTGAGCCCTGCCCCATCCCATCACCACCATGGGGAACAGTGGGTGCTGAGTGGTTGAGCCTCAAAGAGGGGCAGCAGGGAATTAGGGGAGAGTCAGAGCATTAACTGGAGGTAGACGTGCTCCAGCCCTGACCTCCTTGGGCTCCGGACAGAGATGGGAGGAGGAAGGTTGGTGCCGTCACTGGGGCCAGGGCCAGCCCAGGGTGCCCAGATGTCCCCGGCTTGACTCACATTGATGAGGAAGATGGTCATCTCCAGCTCGGCGATCCGCCGTCCTAGACACTGCCGCACACCCCAGCCAAAGCCCAAGTTCCGGAAGTGAGTGACGTTCTTATCTTTGCTCAGCCATCGAGTTGGGTCAAAATTTTCCGGGTGGAAGAAGAAGGTGGGCTCTCGGCCCAGAGCATAGAGGGACACCTGCACCAGTGTCTGGGGCAAGGTGATCAGAGGCCTGAGTAAGCCCTGCCTCCCCACAGCCCTGAGCACAACGCCCCCTTCCCCAGTCCCCTGCCCTCTCACCACCACTCCCACTCCCCAGAATGGCTGCCCGGCTCTCCAGGGCAGGACATTCTGCCCACTGTGCAACCCTGAACAAGGCCCCGTCCCTCTGTGATCCTTACCCACCAAATGGGGACGGCGGAAGACATAAGGCTAGGGTGATGGTTCCACCCTTTCCTCAGACCCAGGCAAACCGTGAAGTCTTCCTCTTAACCCTGGTTTCCAATAACATCCTAGAGGTCACCGCCCACCACGCCCACCACCTCTGCCCTTCACTCAGACTGAGACTGCTGCCATCAAGGGCCCCACCAGGGCCCAAGCGCCACCCTCTGTCTGCAATTGCAGCCTGCTCCAGCCCTCTCTGACTGGCAGAGCCTGCAGCCTGCTGGCTGCACCTACCTTGGCAGGAATCATGTAATCTCGAAGAACCAGATCATTTACAAGATATCTCTGCAGGGTCACGGAGATGGGGTGGAGTCTGCAGGAGAGCACTCAGAAGCTGATTGCCCCGAAGGCTGGTCGCAGCCCCCGAGCCCCACACCCTGCATGGCACTCATGCCAGAGCAGGGCCCTGGCTCTATTTCCTTTCTCCTCCAGACTTTTCCCTTCCTGCTTCCAACCTCCTCCACCAGCTCATCTTCCTAACCCTTGCCCCGGTCACATCCCCGGCCCTGCCCAGGGACTGCAGTTGGGGGTGGCATGGGTGGTTGTGGGCTTGCCTCAGAGTCTCCTTGATGCTGGCTTTCAGGAGTGGCACCAGCTGCAGCATTGCGGCCGTGTCTCCCTGGGCCTGGCGCCGGGCGGCCAAAACCTCTGTCCGTAGCATATCCTGCACCTTCAGGTTGCGTGCCATCTCGTACAAGTGCCACTGCAGGGTCATGGATGTCTGGTGGGGAGTAGGGCATACAGAAGACCAGAGGGCCTGTCACTCCAGGGCTCCTTGAGGTCCTTGACCTCATGCTAAATTTTCATTTCCAGGAACCTCTCTTTCCCCCACCCCATTCCAGTCTCCAAGACCATCCTCTGCAAAAGCAAAACACATTCCATTGTTTAAACGAGAAATGTCCAAAAAGCCTTTCTTGCTGGTCAGGCAGGAATGTTTGGGGCAGCACTTGTCCCTGCCCTCATCCCTCCTGTTGCCAAAAACCCACCCATCTCCCCAGCCAGTAGGGTGTCAGCTACACAACCAACACCTTCTTCCAAAGAATTCCAGAGGCCCTTAGAGGCCAAATCCTTCTGTCATGATTGCACTTCAGAATGAATGTCATTCCTTTTGAAATGCCTTGTCAAACAGCCACCCCTCTCTCCAACAGAACTTCTCAAGGCCTTAGCATTCGCCTATAGCAGCATGGCTTCAAGTAAGGCTCAAAGATGCTGAAACCGGACCAACCAGATGTTTCCTATCAGTGTTGCAACTGGTGTGTGGTGTGTGTTGAAATTAATCAGCTAATCTCAATATAAGCCAGAGGTTATGACCACTAGCCCTTCGCCAGAGATCTGAGTGACCCTCATCAAATTCCTCAAGGATGACAAACCAGGCCCATTTGGGTCCCTAGCCTGGAGCAGCCCTCCCTCCTGGGGACTAGGACGTGGGTTGCTGACACATTATCTTACCAAGGATCATATTTTGTCCAAGGGACTTAGACACCCTACTCTCTCCTCCTGGCAGGGGCAACAAGGACAAGCTGTCACACAGCTCTTTCTCAGCTTAAAATCCTTGCCTGGCTCCCCAGAGCCTCCAGATGAAATGCAGAGGCTCAGGCCTGAGCCACAGGGCCCCTCAATACCTGCCTTCTGCTCCCCCATCCCTCACTCCCCACTTCTCTCCAACACACACCTAATGCTCCAGCTACATGGAGTGGCACACAGCCCCCAAAGCCCTGAAGTCTTCCCCATGCTCACTCCTCTTCCTGGAATTCCCTTCCCCGCCTAACAAGCAAGGATGTGCTCCCTCCGCCAGACTCCAACCATATGTGTGTTTTCATCTCAGTACTGCCAAGGCCTTCTGTAGAGAGGTACTTGGAATTTAATCAGCTGTGTTACTAGCCGTGTGACCTTGACCAAGTTATTTAACCTCTCTGTGCTCCAGCTTCCTCATCTGAAAAAGGGGCATGATGGTAACATACCTTAGAGGGTTGTCTGTGAGTATTAAATGAGGTAGCCTATGTAAACAGCTTAGAACCCTGCCTGCAGTACAGCATGTGCTTAATAAATGTTACCTCACAGTAA